ACTTCTAACAGAAATGCTTTATATATTTATCATTTCCATTCTGAAACATTATTCAGATAATTAATGTAATTTTATTTCCAAACCAATATTCTGTTCCTATTAAGTAATATTTACTTCGCATAAAATTTGTTGTGTGCGGGGAAAAAAAAAGTGCATTTTACGTTATTATTTTTAAATGTAGCCAGGCCCACTAATCTGCATATCCCCTGTATGCAATACTTTTCAAACATAAACATGGAAAATAAAGCGAAGATTTTCTCAGACATCTGTATTTATCTCTGTTCTGTTGCATGTCACAAGAGGTGCGTGTCAAGAACCACTATGTTTTGCTCAGGATGAAGTAGCATTTTGGTTTTAGCCAGTAGCATGTGTACTGGAAGCCCTGGTGATGAATTTCATACCGAGTTTACTACACAGAAGTCTCAAGTACTTTGAAGTAAAAACAAATTCTAGTGAAAGATACACAAAACATTGACATCTGATTTCCTGATCAGGTAAGATGTAAGTAATGGTTCTACAAACTTCTCAGCTTCTACTAATATATCTCAACCATGATGTAAAGGGATAACGACCGTACAATTTTTCAGTTCTATTAAGGTTGCAGGAAAAGATGCTGGTCCCAATACAGACGGCCAAGGACTGTGAAACAGGTTAGCAAAAAATGAAGCTAAAGTTGCCCTCAATTGCTTTTTCTTCTAAGGCCACAAAGCAGCATCAAAGTGACCTCAGAAGAACTGCCATAGGTATCAGTGTGGCAATTCAGACAACAGGTGCCTTACAGAAAAGTGCAGGCAGCTCTATTCAGTACTCCACTGAAATTCCAGCACCCTCAGTACTCTTTCTTTCAACTTCTTGGTTGCTTCAGGTGAGTGACTACAGGCCACTTCCATTTGGAGCCATTTCTAGGAACAAAACTGACTTCACAGAAGTGGCTTTGCATACTCCACTCTCTGAGCTGGTCTACAGTCACTTGAGAAAGACTGCAGACACTCTGAAACCGTCTGCAGTTCAAAGTGTAGACACTAGATTTGATGAAGTGGTGAATCCTGATCAAGTGTAAAAACGTACCGGTTCAAGACACAGCGCCTGACTTTTTATGGGAACCTCGGGTTATACGAGACTGTTCCACCAAAGCTAAATGAATAGCAAGAGCGTTTCTCATTCCAAACTCACAGTGCATTTCTGCACCTGCTGGATACCAGATGGTTTTGCCAGCTTTTGACATTTCAGGGCTACAGAGCACAAGGGCAGCAGCAGCACCCCTTTGGTTCATTTCTCAACTATTGTTGACCCATCCAATTCTTGCAGTACCAATTTTGCCTCGTCCGCAACACTCCTTAAATAAAGAATTGTCTGAAGGTAAAGGTGCAAATGCGGCTGTGCTTCCATACAAACACTAACCATAACCAATAGACACATCAGAACCAGAGTTTGCAACAAGCAGGCCTAAAGGCCTTAACACTGCTCTCCAAAATGATAATACCACTTCAGTCTTGCCCATATAATCAGATTTAAACAACATTTTCTGCTCTAGAGCAGAACCACTTCCACTACAGATTTTTAAAAAAAAAAAGTTTGTTAACAACAAAATGTCTAAAATAGGAAAACAATCACTAATGAAACCCGTTCTTATCTCAAAAGCTGGTCTTGAGTCTAAAGACTAAGCTATTCTGTTTGAGTCCCATTTTGGATCTGAAAAGGGTAAATCCAAAATTGTAATCCTCAAGCTCTCTCCTTTTAGGCCAATACAAGAAACAGCTGATGTCAAAAGCGTGACAGCTTAATACTTTATTCATGCAGATGCCTAGAAGCAATTTGGTTTTGACTGGGGCTCTGATTACTTTTAAGCCTGCATTAAGGTCTACATGATTTTTTTCAGACCTTGCTTGGGACTTAATCTGTAGGTGTTCCTGTCAGCATACCAGCTGGATGAGGTTCTATACAAAACACTGACAGTCCATGCTTTTTTTCGGGGGGGAGGGATTTTTGAAATGATTTAAAAATTTTTTTTAAATAAAGAACCTCTTCCTGCAAGTGCATCGTGTACAGGTATTTTTGTGTTCAATAAGTCAGTGGTTAAATCAGTCACTCAGGAGACAGGCAATCTGCACTGAAGATTTTCCTCTCAAACTAAGGGACCTGCAGCAGCAGCAGAATGCTTTACAAGGGCCCTTCTTCTTTCCCCTGCCTTAGGCTGAAGACAACGCAGAAAGCACCTCTGCTCTTTCATTGCTACAGTGCAAGAATCTACTCTGAGTTTCTGTAATCATCTGACACCAGGTAGCAAAAGGAACAGTCTTCCAAAAATGGGTTTCGCTCCTAGCACCCAGTGAACTGCTGAAGAACAACATAAACGTCTCTTGGCTCTGAAGGTTTCCGAGACAGCAATGCAGAGCTACTAATGGGCAACCCAGCATCTGCTTTGTTGAATCCATACTACTCAGTGGGGATGGAAAGACAAAAGACTCACGTCAACTGCTGCATGAAGTTCAGTATTTCCAGACCACCTGATTCAAGGATCTCCGCTTGGCTGAACTGGGAAGCAGTATTTCCTGGGCAACTACTGAAAGTATCCCTGGCCAGGACCCCTTTTTTTTCCCCCCCCCCTCTCCTTCTTCTGTGCCTTCATGACCAATATTTAAGAGATCACCTTCACAAAAATATTAAATTATCAATAGGTGATTGAAAACTTCTGCCAGTTGTGAACAGGGTCTCTAACAAGCTACTTTAAAGAGGTTCATTTCCGCCTTGAAGATCCGTTACCCTTTTGGCGCTTCACTGTGTTGCTTTGCTGAGATAATCTGACTTTATAAACTACATCACACTTTAGCAAGAGCTTCCTTCACTTCCCCTTAGACAGCAGATCTTAAAAAATTAGCACTTAAAACGGCAGTTTTCAAGGACGGTTGAAATGGCAGCCTGCAGGGCTGATACGCAAACTTCTCTGGCTGCTCTTGAATTGCTCACATGATGATTGAAGTAACGGTCAAGCAGTTCAGACCCAAAATGGAAAGCAAGATTCCTCACCCGCCCCACTATTTTAAACCCTACAAGGTAAAAAAAAAAAAAAAGGTGGAGAAGCGGGGACGGGAAAAAGGGAGGGGAAGTTAAGGGAAAGAACCCAGCAGCAAAGGCTCTGGATCTAGGCACAGAAAAATTGCTTTGATGCAGGAATTGATAGTCAGAAACTCTCCCCTGCCAACTGGTATCAGCAGTATGTCGGAAACGAGGGTGGAGATGGTGAAGGAAAAGGGAAATGCAGAGTTTCTGCTGCTGCCTGAATTCTCTGGGGAGCATTCATGCCCAGAAACAGCCAGAGACAAGTTATGGTATCCGAGGTTTCTGCAGGTGCTTTGCTGTTCTGAGGAGCGAGATAATACCTTTTTTAGACGTCTTAAGTATAGATTATAGAGCTTAACTTTTGTCAGTCACCTTTGGCTTTTATTGACTTGGAAGAGTTTTCAAACAGAAAAAGCTGCCAAACCATTACCAAACTTGTCTCCTACTACGGGAAGATAGGGGAATGGACAAATAAAGTAAAAAATTAACTGTACTTAAAGTATCTGTCTTAACCTATTACCGTCTTTGTTTTGTTAATCAGAGCCTACTGACTTCATTATTAAGTTTTCCTTATATCATTGCTGCATAAAAGGTGAATTATTTTTTATACCTGGCGTATTAGCAAAATTTGAGATTTTGGGAATAAAATAAAACCTGCCAGATGTGACGTGCCGCTTTAAAATCTAGCTGAGCAACAAAAAAGTGCTTGCCTCTCCTTGGAACCGGAAAGTGAATAAGACTTTGCAAGAAGATAGGAGATTGCATTCCAAGGAATCCCTTGATTTTTGGGTTACATTCACGTCCATCAAAAATGAAGTAGTGCCAACACATAACTATGTCAGATTGATGGCAGAACACCTTGCAAGAGTAAAACCCGTGTTTTTAGGGTAGAAAACCTGATATTTTTATTTTTTTTTTACTTAAAGTAAAAAGTAACCTACCCCTCTACTATTTTTTAAACAGAAATTTTAGTATCTCATTACACTGTTGTGAAGAAAGGCTGGTCCATAAAAGTAGGCTGTTAGCTACTTATGGAAGACAAATTTCCATTGCAGCTGTAAGCCACAGCGTCTGTGCAATATCAGAGAGAAAAGTGAGTTGTCTGTTATACTGATTTCCAAAAGAAACCTTTGAAACCATCAGCTTAAGAACAGGCCCGGTACATACAACTCAGCTGAGAGTGCATGAGCTTGGTAACCTGGGGAAAGAAAATACCCACTGAGGAAATTCAGGAAAAAGGGTTTCTACTGTCATCATTTTATGGCAATTGCAGACTTCAGTTAATGGAATCACTTCATGCCAACAAAAATATTAAGAGAACAGCACAGACATTTGCATTTATAAAGACAGAATCTGCAATGCCAGCTTCACATTTTTAATTGCACAACTACAAAGCTAACGATTGCCTGCCTTTGAAATCAGAAGGTAAGTTTTTAGTGCTTTGGCCACACCATTTCCACAAATCAATCCAAATCCATTTAAAAATGCATTCTGTTAAGTGCTTTTATGGACGGTAGAGGGGAACTAAAACACTAGGAAAGCATCTTTCTTTCCCTACTCATAAACAATAAAAGCTGGCAGACTGAAGGCAGACAAACTTGGAGCCATCTTCATCATTTCACATTTCTCCTCCTGCTTTGTCTAGCTTCTTCTTACCAAAATACTTACAGCTCTATTTCATGACAGAACTTGCATGCAACAGACACTCATAAATCTGTAACAAAGAACCTATGAAAAATGGAGGTAAAAATTCTGCATTTTACATCCTTACACTGTAAGCACAGATGCTTCCGATGACTTTTTAAATGTTTGGCGGTGCCCCGTAGGAACAGCTGATGGGTAAGTCCAATATAACTGTACAGTTTCAGAGCAATTTTGTGTAGCATGCATATCCAGAAAATGAATATGTTTATATTTATGATGAAGGTGTACACACTTACCTGCCAAGGCCGATCCCAATCAAGAGGAATAGGAAATGCTCCAAACCAAGCTCCAAGTATACTGCACATGGTAGTGATCTGTAGACTGCTTTCCCAGACGGACATAGCTCTGTAAAAGACCAGTGTGTTACAAGACTCTTCACCAGCAGAAGTTACCATGTCAGAATGTTAGATCTGATCTCTCCCAAGATTTTTGAGACTACAAACAGATATAAAAATCCATATATTTGATACAGAGCATACAGGTTTCTCCTAAAAGATATAAACTACATGTAAAATGCAAGTTGCATACTTTAGCTATAATCACACTCTATACGACACATTCAGGAGATTTCCCCCCCCCCCCCCTTGAGATGTTTGCTGCAAAAGCTAATTTATTTTACCTGGAAATACTCCTATTGAGCTAGAAACACTGCTTAACTGAGCAAATGAAGACACCACAACGATACTGTGTGCGTTGCAGGGAGAGGCAGACAGGAAAGGGTAGCATGGGCTTGTACAGAAAAGCACAAGCACAGTCAAAGTATTCTGTGGTGCAGACATGTTCTCATTTGATGACTATGACGATTTTAAATTTAAAATAGAAGTCCACTATGTGAGTATTTCAAAGCAAATTTCCATCAGCTGAGAAGAAACATTGCAAATAAATGGAACCTGCACGTTGCAGCCCTTCAGCGACACTGCACCCCAGTTCAAGCACACTGTTACTGCACGCTAAAGGACCCTTGCGTTGCCAAGCATGGCACATATCGTATCCTAGGAGACGTTACTGACTTCAGTTCTCAGCTTATAGCCTTCTACCACTACTCACTTAAAAAGTTTTGGAAAAGTTGGGTTTCTGTTTAATAGAGAAGCACTTACTGTCCATCATCAGTCTACCGAGTGACTGCTTTGCTTTTCTCAAGACAGGAACATTTGAGTACTTGGTACCAATTAAGAAACAAGAACAGTGGGAGTTTAGAACACAGTAGGGCACAGTTCTGGGACAGGAGAACCAGGCTGAAATCCCTGCTCTGAATCAGTAAGGTAAGAGATCTGAATCTTAAGTTGGCTACATCTCAGATTATAAACACAAACGTAGCTTTAGCTAACAGAAGAGAGATGTGCATTTTTATGGCTAGAAGACTAGACGGATAGTAAACTCTGAACTTGACATGTGCTGTTTAGGTTGCGTGTCAGGAAAGCTTTAACCCTACACCTTTTTTTGAAGGGTCTAAAATTCCTGACTATTTCTGAGTACACCTAACTCACTGCTGCGTTTGCTATTGATCAAACGGCTCACAAGTGTAAAGCAAACATTTTTCATGGTTTGCAAAATCAAGGTCAAACAGATTATAATATTTACAGTGCAGTAAACAGTTGACACTTTGAGCAGAACTGTTTCTTCTACAACAACCCCATCCCTTTAACTTACAACACTCCCATTTCAATCCACAATCCTACAAGCTTGAGGTTTTTTTGTTTGTTTGTTTGTTTTAAAAGGAAAAGCCTTGATCTATCTACAAAATTGTTTAGGAGTCTGCACATAGAAAATGCTTGTAAATTATTTTCAGAAGCTGAGTAACGGAGCGGAGAGCTGTCAGGCAGCACAGGGAAAAGAACATTCACTACAGCCTTAAAGCAGTGAAACAGCCAGCACAGTATACCGGCTGACTGAGTTACATTTATACCCCACAAGACATCGTATCTGGTAAAGCTACACACATACTGCTGCACCATATGGAGACACCAGACTGAGTCCAACAGCAAAACAACAGAATTAGCAAGGCACAGTGCCCAGCTGAAGAGCAGCACTTGGGAGTTTGGCAACCCCTTGAGCTGCTAATTCAACCACTCTGCAGCATCGACACTGGCTACTCAAATACACCCTGACCTGTAAACCATCATCCTCAAGGAACAATGCTTTGATTAGTCTCTTCGTGGAATGCCACCCCTCAGGATTGTTACAGGTATTCATTAATCCATCGCACAAACCTCTCATTTGCATGAGGCTAACAACTGCAGCAGCATTTATAAACTTGAGTTTTATATGTTTCTTTACTTAAGTATGTACAAAGTACAACTAAGATCATTCTGCAGGCAGAGCTAACAATATTTTTGGTAATAAATGATCACTAGTGGCACAAAGGTCTGTTAAAGCCTAAATTAACTATTTAACCCCTTTAAATAATACAATACATTAAGTGCTGTTTTAAATAATGTTTGAATTAAGAGGTTAGCTAACATAAAAGAATTTACTAAGACAGTTCCTGGATAGACAAGAACTGGAATTTTGGGCTGCAGCAGGACTGACATACTAAGCAGCACTTAGTACTTGATGATGCCTACCTTTACAAAGGACATTTCCAAATCTGTAAAAAGAGCATGCACCTCACAAACAAGTGATAAAACAGGTGAAATGAAAACTGGAAGGAGCCCTAAAGTTATGGTTTTATACTACTTTTTGGCAAGCTCCAAATAAAATCTGTTTCCTGCCAAGGTGACATCTTGTAACCCCTATTATACCTGAAATTTCAACACAATTACTCAGACTAGTGATTTGAAACAAACAGTCTCCAAAAGGAGCAATAAAAATCAGCAACTGAAAGCTGATTTCTTAAAGGCCTTTATGCAGAGGCTGTTTCAGCCAAGAATCACTGAAATGCCATTTAAATAGTAACCAGCTTCCATGAGTGCCAATATCCCCTTCTGTAGCTTTTATTTCCCTTTATCTCCTCACAGCAACACGAGGTAGCATATGATCAGCGTCATGACATTGGCCACAACACCAGGTGTCAGAATACGGAGTCCAGGGGTAGCTGGCAAAGCTGCTGCCCGTTCCCAAAGGCAGAATGAGTGAAAAAAGGTGTGTTTACTGCCTACTTAGAATTGAAGTTTTTATGATGTAGAATACACAAACTTACTTTTCTGACATATCCTGTGCATCCATAGACTATAAATACACAGGTAAGAACAAACTGTTCACATTTCTTGAAGTAATTAAAAAAATAAATCTATTTGGTCCATCGACTCGACATTTCCAACTCAAAAGCATACTCAGTTTGAAAATGTGGAGCTTGTGCAATTTTCTGTCTGAGCTACAGTTGTGTTTCATGCAATTGTTTCATGTATACAACAAAAAACCCAACCAAACACCACCTTCCCTTCACCCCACCAACAACCCAAACTTTACAACACAGACAGTAAACCCGCAGTGTCGGAGACTACACATTATCATGACCCAGCACACAATCCACCCCCTAGAGGTATGGGCACCTAAAGACTAGTCTTGTAGTAACCTGATCAGAAGTGATTTTACTAGCAGTGACTGCACTTCAAAGTGCTGCAAGTGGAAACAGAGAAAACTAAGCGTCTTTGCAGAAAAAATAAGCACTTTGCAAGATCATCCCCAAAAGATTCAAGCTGGACTGACTGTTGGACCGTAGCTATTATGGTACAATAGATTACAAGTTAACTTGAACGTGACTTTATGAATAGTCCCATGAAAAGATATCACATGCATCACAATTTTCACACTAGACCACCTAAAACATAGCAGAAAGCTATCCAGAGCAACAGCCAGGTAATTAGCATCTGTTACTTCCTTACACTTGATGTATCAAGATAAACCACCTTTGTCTAGGTGTCTTTTTCTGTCTTTCTGCAAAGACAATAGCAGAAGCACATTTTGATCTTATAAATATTGCACAGGCAAGTAAGAGTAACAAAAATAAATGTCAGTGGTTACTTTAGTCTAAATTGTATTCAGATATTTTTAAAACACATTCCTTTTTCATACTAACTTATACGCTTAATCAGACTTTCCAGCTTGCTGTTACCCTGAAATTCAATTTGCTAAACTCTTCTTTCACGGCAAACTGCTGCAGAGATCTTACCTAACCATCTTTTTCCTCTGTTCAACCAGTCCCACCTCATTCCACGTGGTTAAGGTAGAGACACGTCTTTAGTATGTCATGTCTACACTCAGCTCACCCCTAAATGCAAGATGTTCCAACTCATTCAAGAGGTCAAATGAAAACCTACAGGATTCTTTTTAAAAGAGCAGCTTGCTACAATCCATTAAAAAAAAAAAAGTGCTACAATATTCTTCTGTAGTCTATTTCCATTCAAAGGCTGGTCTAAAGAAACATTATTAAACAGACATTTTACTCAGATAATGCCACACGGCTCACTAGTAAAAAGCATGTACAAGTTGTCACAGTACAAATGTCAGAACAAGACAACTCTGTTTCCTATGCAACAGTTGTGCTGAAATAACATTAAGATCTAGGCCAGGAAAGAAAGAAATTGAAAGGCATTCAACATCTAACCTGGCACAAAGACAGGCTGTTGTCAAACATCTGTTCCTTCAATTCAACTATTATTTCCAGTTGCAAAACCTCCAAAGATGACTAAGTGAATCAGCAATGATTTGTTTTGGCTAAAACAACTCCATGCTTTTATTAAAGCCTATTCAACCCTTCCACTGAAAATAAGAGACAAGCATAACCAACTTCTTGAATAAGGATTCAAGGTATTTTTCTGTAAGCTGAGAACTGAGATAAACCAAAAGTCAATAGCTGAAACTACTACAAAAAGTCCACTTCTGTCCTCCTCTGCAGAAGTTTAAACCAAAAGTAACTCCACAGGTCAGTGGTGTTACACAGCTCTTCACTTTCTTTTGAGATGAGACTTCACCCTTTTGAACTATTAAAAGGGAATTTATGCTGACATCTTATTATTAAATCTCAAGTCTATGTGGGTGGCCTGTTTCAGCATCCCAGTCTTTCAACAATCCTGTTATTTAGTGAGAGAAAGAAGGCAGGAGAAATAGAATACTTCTGAAAAATACATTATCCTTGATACATGCTAATGCCATCGCAGTCGCTGAGGTGAAAGTGAGGTTAAAAGGCTCATTTTACTTTAAACATACTCTTGAAAAACATTAACGCTCGACAACTCTGACACTGAAAACAGATTTCTTTGAAATTTGAAAAAGAGCATGGGTAAAGACCACAAACTTACGACCACAGTAAATCATATATAATTTTCACCACTATATTCAAGTCAAAAACACTGTTAAAATAGCGTTTGTTTTGGCTCATTGTTCCTACTTCAAAAGCGGTATTTAGGAAGGTACTGTTGGATCATGCGCAAGATTCTCCCTGCACAGCTCAGTCTCAGGTCTGGTCCTTATTGGACAACCATCATACTGGACTGCACCGTGGTTTTTCAGCAGTAAAATGTGCGTTTGAAACTTCGCTTCCTTCAAACACATGTAAAGTGAGATTTAGTGTCTGGACACCAAAAATAAAAAGACAGATTTCTGACTCAATGTCTAAAAACTAATTAATAGTTTTCTTTGTCAGAGACGCTTTCATAAGCCTGTAGTTACAAATATGAAAACCACACGTAATTCAGGACATTTTCTTTCTTTACTAAAATTTCCATGATATATTGGTTACATCAATTCTGTCCATTTCTATTCTGGGTAAAAATCAGAAACTTTAGAACAGAACTTACCCATTTTTACTAAATACCCGTATCCATGCTTGTATGTTTGGTCCCAGCATACACAAGCACTGTAAAGTAGTAAAGGTAGACAGGAGAACTGCGAACAAAAATGTCTCAGTCACTGACCTACAAAGAAGCAATATTACAAAGTTAAGTGAGGTAGTTACTAATTTTCTAAGAGCTCCAAGATTTAGGAAAAAAAACCCAACTCTTTAAGTCAACTTGTGAAAGCCTTACATAGAATAAAGTATTTTTTTCTTATTCTGGAGAATAGTAGAGAAAAACGGAAAGAATTCTGGTATCTCTTATCTAAACACAGACCGAAATGCAGTAACTATTTTAAATGCCTGATTGAAAAAAAGAAGGAAAAAAAAAAAAAAGGGTGTACCTCATATAGAGTATTAGCTCTGGACTGAAGTCTGCTCAGATATTTACTTCAGTATTCTATTTATTTTTCTAGTTTGATGTTGTGGAAGCAGCCAC